AAGACTGTTCTGGACAATTTAAGTTAACTGTTTGGTTACTATGCTCTTCAATACATAATTGTGTGATTACGTCATCATACCTTATACAACACGGATTAAGAAGAAATTGGCGGCCGTTATATCTGGAACTGCCGACGGCCGTTATCTGGAAATCGTGCTCACGAACGCCAGATATGGAACGACTCAACAAGTGCATTTTCCTTGGCCTTAATCGCTGCAAGGCCTATAGAATTGCATGATTTGAATGGCGTTATGGTGTCACAGACGCCAGGGTGACCTTGAAATAACCTGCACGGAATAGCCTGCACATCTTCCCGGGCGTATAGCCCAGAAATGACCGGAAGTTGGATCTTAAGAAGAGCAGGACTATGCACTGCACCGAATGATCTCAAGATGGCTATTTCTATCCAAAACCCCATACAAATATGGGGCACTTTTTTAAAGGGAATACTCCACACTTTTACTTTTCACTTGCTTTCCTTTTTGTACTTGGTCTACTTTTTGTACTTTTCACTGAGTGCTACTGTTGTGCTTTTTGTACTTTTTACTTATTACGTTACACGTGCACGTTCGATCGATAACACCAGTTTTTTTAAATCTTTCTGAAAAGCTCAGAATTTCAGTTTGAGGTAGCCCACCCTGCGGGATGAATCTCAGTTGGCACCTTGATCACCGATGTTAAAGTAATGTAGTTTCTTTGCCTTGCTCTTTCAAGAGGTATCTTATGTAATGTTTACAAACCGCTAATGTGTCGAAATATCTGTATACCAAATGCTATAAAAGCTTGATGCACTGTTTTGAAAACAATACGCGAACATTAAGCTTGTATTCCGCGAATTCAACGAAACTTTACGCTATTACTCCCATTTCGTCAGTATGGCGTTAACCACAGTTGTTCTTCTCAAGACACGTTGGCTTTAGAAATGGGAGTATCGCATGGTCCATGTGACGCACTGGTCCAAACTTCAACCAATCAGCTTCTTGGTAACAGGCCCTTACCTGCTGGGCCAATCACACATATTCTTTTATTCGCACCAGTAGGCCAGTAGAAGTGCGCACGGTCGTTGTCATGATGGGAGTGGTCGTGGCTGCAGGGAAGAAGCGTTATGCTGCTACATAGCGTTGACAGCATAATTTTGACTCGAAAGTAATGAAAGAAAATGTTTCGCAGTTGAAGATATTGAAGCAAGTATCGGATATGATGAAATAAGCTCACTTATAACTATTGATGTAGTTCTTCAGGGGAAAAGACTGCCTATACAGCACAATTCCCTGTTAAGTAAATATGCTCCTCAATGCGTCATGGTTTGATTACGTCATCGTACCTTGCACATCACATATTGTGAGCCAACTGATGGCCGTTTTATCAGAAAATGGCGCTCACGAACGCCAGATATGAACGCCTCGACCATTGTATTCTGCTGGGCCTTAATCGCCGCACAGCTTATGAAATGGCAGGATTTTAATGGCGTTATTATGAGGTCATGAATGCCAAGATGACTTCGGAATACTTTCCCCGATACACTTTTCCCAATTTTCGCGGACGTGTAGCTCAGAAGCGAAATGGGCTTTGGTCTTGAGAAGGACGGGATTGTGAACAGCACCGGAAGTCCCCAAGATGGCTATTCCAGTTCAAAACCCCATATAAATGTGGGACACTTCCTTCAGTCCAGGGGCTGGGTGTCAGGCTTAGCTTTGGGTTACCTCACGACCTAGGTACCGGGCACAGCCCTGAGTTAGTCCAAGAGCTGGGGGTTAGCTCTGAGCCTCAGCTCAGGACCTCAGCCCGGGACCTGGGCGCCGCGTGCAAGCCTAGGTCAGCACCGGGAGCTGGATGTTACGTGCAAGGCTAAGCCAGCCCCGGAGCTGGGCGCCGCGTGCAAGCCTAGGTCAGCACCGGGAGCTGGATGCTACGTGCAAGGCTGAGCCAGCCCCGGAGCTGGGCGCCGCGTGCAAGCCTAGGTCAGCACCGGGAGCTGGATGCTACGTGCAAGGCTGAACCAGCCCCGGAGCTGGGCGCCGCGTGCAAGCCTAGGTCAGCACCGGGAGCTGGATGTTACGTGCAAGGCTGAGCCAGCCCCGGAGCTGGGCGCCGCGTGCAAGCCTAGGTCAGCACCGGGAGCTGGATGTTACGTGCAAGGCTGAGCCAGCCCCGGAGCTGGGCGCCGCCTGCAAGCCTAGGTCAGCACCGGGAGCTGGATGTTACGTGCAAGGCTGAGCCAGCCCCGGAGCTGGGCACCATATACCGGCCTTAGTCAACCCCAGAAGCAGGATATGGACCTGACCATGGCGTGAGCCAGGCCCGCCCTTTTTACTTGCCGGGTGTGATAAGCACCGAAGCCCGGCACGGCGGCCCGCCTCGGTGTGGGCGGCACCGCACCCAGCCCCGGCCCGTGCCCTGGACGACTGACCGCTGGTCCGCTGCCAGTCAGCTCAACATCAGCTACAGACCAGTACGTGCTAGGACTATTTTACATTTACTTTCAGCTGCACGCTACTTCAGGGGAATGCAGTGCCTCCCAGGAAGGCATTGGTGGCCGACAGATGTCGACTAGCTAGCGTTGAGCCTGGAGTAGCAAACCGGGTGTACGTACAATCTATGTGTCTGTGTCTATGTGTCTGTGTCTATGTGTCTGTGTCTATGTGTCTGTGTCTATGTGTCTGTGTCTATGTGTCTGTGTCTATGTGTCTGTGTCTATGTGTCTGTGTCTATGTGTCTGTGTCTATGTGTCTGTGTCTATGTGTCTGTGTCTATGTGTCTGTGTCTATGTGTCCTGTGTCTATGTGTCTGTGTCTATGTGTCTGTGTCTATGTGTCTGTGTCTATGTATCTGTGTCTATGTGTCTGTGTCTGTCTATCTCGGTGTCTATATCTATCTCTGTGTCAACACCTATCTCTGTACAACCCCCAAAATCCCGGCGAAGCCCCTGAGTGCTTCTGGTGTGATACGGACCTAGAAGACCACTGTCCAGTGTAAAATAAAAAGCGCTGGTCAAATGAGGTCATTTAGCACCCTACAATTAGTTCGGTGTCTTTTTTGTAAAACCCTGTCTTAGACATCACAGCATCATGAAACTTTGCAGAAGTGCACAAAGACTCCAGCTGTGCTATTGCATGATCGTCACTTGATCTGGGAAAGTGTTGTGCATGTTTTTGTACGTGTTTTATAAGCTGACCTGATATTCGGTCGCATGGTCTGTTAACTGAAAGTACATCCCTGATTATGTGTCGTAGAGCATGCCCCGTATTTCACCGTATTCTAATGCTTTCCGTCTGACTGTATCGCTGAGAATGGAAACGAATTTCCTTGACACGTTAGGTAGCTCAAACTAATGTAAATGGCTTTTAGACGAACCGATTTGTGACTTACTGAAAACACCATCGCACAATCGAGCAAACGCGTAAGAAACTGATTACGTGTACATTCACCTGTGCGTGAATGGACGCATGCTGTCGAAGTACACAAATATCTAAGAAGATATGTATATATATATATATATATATATATATATATATATATATATATATATATACACGTTTATGTATGTATGTATGTATGTATGTATTATCTATGTATGCATGTATGTATGTATGTATGTATGTATTATCTATGTATGCATGTATGTATGTATGTATGTACATTAAGTGGATGACCAGAACATAAGTGGATGAAATCCCAGAAGTTTCTCGTACTTGTCCCCTTTAGCGACTTCCTCGGTTTTGGCCCGCCACTCACGTTGAGAAATTGATACTCATGACACGATGCTAATTTTTCAAGCGTAGAATGGAAAATAACACATCTAAGGGCGGGAGAAAAGGTTGGCTTATGCTTGTTTGCCCCCCCCCCCCCCGTCACCCGCTCTCTAATTATTTAAATAAATTGACGCCGCTACGTTCCATTGTAGATCAGTCTCGCTATGCACCAGCTGTAGTCGCTGACCGGCGCATCTGATAATCGTGGCGCATTGTCAGGCGTGAGTCATCAGGCGGCCTGCTGCACCACTCCCCTTGTAATATCGAGGGTGACAGTCCGCAGCTAGCTACTGTGACGCCGACCTTCAAACCGGCGACCGGAGCCACGCGACTCGGCACTTAGGCCTATGGGCGCCCACAACAGAGTCACTTGAGCGTAAAAGTGTGCACGGACGCACGCCAAATCGCGATATCAACTATCGTGCGAGAGAGACAGCAGGTGAAATAAACTACACCGTATATAGGCAGCCGGTATGAAAATGAACGGAATAGACCGGGGACCCAGAAACTGAGGGAATGTGCTACGGATGTTGCCAGCGCTGAAACAATCTTATTTGTCCTCCCCCCCCCCCCTGGGGCATGTATATAACCTCAATATACGGTTGACCTCCAAGAAGAAACTATATGAAATTTACAAATATTTACTGCTTTAAGTATCTGTTTTCAGTCACAGTTCTTGTTTCATTTATCACGTTTCATTTACTTCAAACCTTAGAAATTTGGCTCATTGCACGAAAACTTCCGATTCTCAAAACTGCCTAAACACACAGTAGTATTGGTCACATATATGAAATTCTAAGGTTCAAAACAACATCCTCACAGCTTTCAGAATGTACTAAATATAATGAGAAAACGGAGACCTTGAAATTAAGGAAGTGTGACAAGATAATTACTCTAGAAAACAGCACTCAACTTCCATTTACTAAATTCACTTTCTTACTTAATTTGCACTTTCGTCTTTGTTTATATGATCCTTTTTATGTCCTGCATAATACACATATCTACGCATTTTGTGAAGGCAAAATGCCACATTCATAGCTTAAAGGTGGCTCGTATTTGAAGCCATACAAGGAAGATTTTCACCAAAAATTCAATGGTATATATATATATATATATATATATATACATATACTGGAAAACGAAAGACCCCCCCCCCCAAATGCATGCGTGTCACGGAAATATATGGCTAACATATTGCTGAACCACGCGCCTCGATAACAACGTTTACCATTACATACACAGCAGTGCCAACAGTGACTTTCTACGCCTGCTTGCGCACGTAAGCGAAGCATCGAATCTGTCTGAAGAGATGTCACTAAAGCTGGATTCATTTCATACTTGAATCAATTTACCATGCGTGTAACTGCATGCCATCAAAGCCCAGAAGTCGCAACGTTTCACGCCTCACGGTAAGTATGCTGTTGTCGCGATACTGTGCGCCATAAATGGCCTGACGCAAACTGTTTTGTCCGTGAACAGCTGATTAAGCGTAAATCTTAACTAGCAAATACGATCTCGTTTGTGAGCTCCGAGAACGCCGTTGTTGGACGGCAACGAGATATTCATTATTTCGTTGCCCCGCTGGCCCATAGTTACGTCATAAATCTCCAACAGATCTTCCTGTATTTAAACACCTGATTTTACATGAACACAAAGATATGAGATATGTCATGACGTTGGAAAGCAAAACTACATCGATGTTTTGCATCGATGCGTGCAAGCTTTGTAAACAGCTGACAGCGTCTATCAGCCGTGGCCATGGCTCTTGGCTCCACCGAGGCCGACCTGCGTGCGCCACAATCGTCCTTCGATGCTGCGGCATTGTGCGCTATTGTCCTGGTGGCTAAACGAACCGTGGGCGAAACCACGAGACTTGGCATGCACTCAGCAGACATCATTGTTTTATCTAGGTTATTGTCAGCAGGTAAGTTGGGTTACAGAAGACTGGTTTGATGGCAACGTGTTTTGGAAATGGCGGAAATTGCGTACGTTTTGACTCCAATGCAAGCCCCCCTCCCTTTCCATTCCCTTAGCAGGACTTGCTGGGTGGTGCTGTTATTTGAGCTTGACTTCAGCTTGAATGTTCCATATTTGCCAGGCATTGTGTTCTCATGTGCATTGTATTTTATAAGCTATATTAAGGCTTACCTGCCACTGCTTCTTGATGAGATCAGAACAGCTCTTGTCCTTTGGTGAGGTGTGGAGATTTCAACCACCCAGAATGTGTTTTGTGTTGGGGAATTATAATAAGCGGCAGTCGCACAGTGCTCAAGTCATTTTATTCTACTGACGATGTCTATGAATGTGTCATGACATAATTGATTTATGAAAGCGCATGCTTCGTATCTAGAAAACCTAAACATTGAATGGGTTGCTACTTATGTCGCCTATGTTGCAAGTTTGCTGCTTTCAGGAGTCATTACTTTGATAAAAAAGATAATCGATGGTGCATTTGTCTTGCAAATACACTATGTTGAATGATTTCTTTTTTTCAAAGCCCGCCACTACCCGCAACTTTGTCAGAAGTAACCGCCAAAAGCCTTGCGGGCTTTTTAAGCCCGTGTGCTGTGGGCCCGGGGCTCTAAGTTGACAGCTCTAATGGCTATACCTTGCTCGAAGCGTCTGTGCCGGAACTGATAAAGCTTTTCTGTGTGTTACCGAAACGGCGCGAATCTCGCAGCGGATCTTCCTGTTTAAGGCTGGCAAAATATCAAGAACCGTTGGGCAGATTTTTAGCCATGCGCGGCCCAGTTTATTTAGAGTTCAGTGGTCCCGAGTCGCCAGGATTCCAAGCAGCTGAAACGATGGGAGTATAACTACCGCTGAGCTGCTGCCGTCATCTCGTCAGCACCTCAGCTTCAGCTGCTGCCCCCCACCATCCCCTCTTTGTCGTATCAAACCAAACATACCCAAATGCGTCGGCAATGCCACGTCGTGCTCGCGACAGGCTGGTGCCTGGAAACTGCCTTGGCCAGATCCGAACTGAACTTTAGTCACGTTAGCAGAACACGGATGACGTGCTCCACGCGTGATAACTGCCTGAGCCAGATCCGAACTGAACTTTAGTCACGTCACCAGAACACGGATGACGTGCTCCACGCGTGATAACTGCCTGGGCCAGATCCGAACTGAACTTTAGTCACGTTACCAGAACACCGATGACGTGCTCCACGCCTGATAATCAAATCCTGCACTCGCAGTAGGTCGGCCCACGCATCCATAATTCGTAGGATGATAACATTTATGTAAGCATTTTAAAACATTTACATCGCTAAAAGTTAGCCAAAGTTTTCTAGACATTAACTATTGCGATCAAAGACCATTAAATCAGTGCCACTTATTCCTTTAAGACCCGGCTTTCGGGGTTGGAAAGAGTGTGCATGCATGCACAAAATGACTAAGGTGGTGTCTGACCACTGTCCGTACACGTAAAATCGCGAAGTCCGCGTATCACAGGACAGGAATTCTGTGATGTCCGGCTGATTTGTGCCGTTTCTCACCTGTGGCAGCCCCGTAACCACCAGCTGTTTCTGAAACGGACGATGATCACTGTCAAGCTGTTTCAACCCATTGAAATGCAATTCGCACTTCCTTTCACCTCCGCAAAGACGCTGTTTTTCTGTTTAGTCGGCGCCAGTTACGCGGAGAGTGGCGGGTGGTTTGGGCTGCACCTGCTGATAGGCACGGATGCGGTGACGCTCTTCCTTGACCAAAGCCGACGGAGGAAGCGGTCTTCTACTGCCGGGTCCGGCTGGATTACCATTGGTCACGCACCCCGACCGACAGACGGTGACATACCGCCAACTTTTTCCGCTGTATAAATGGAGATAAAAAGAACGCCCGTGATCTTCCCATGACTGTATGTGTCCTTGTGCGTTTCCTGCCAGATTTGGTATGTCCTGTGCGCGCTTGAGACACGCAAACGGGGCGAGTGGTACGAGGTATGGCTGGGGCTGTAATGAGAAAATAGCACTCCGTATTTGGCGTGGTAGGCGGGGCGTAATAATACGAAACGGTGCGATTTGAACGGACGCTACCAGAACTATGTCTAGATCTGGGTTCTTGCAGTTTTTCATTTGGAAGTAAGGATGCATCTCATTTTTACGGTCAATGAAAGATGTTTTTTGGAAATATCGGCCACTTGCTCCTGCCATAACCACTGCCAGATGCAGACGAGTCTTACGCAGATAAAGCCAACAGCCCGCACCCATACCTGTTACATAATCAGATAGGAAACGTCACGAGCAGGACCGTCCAGTCCAAGACGAGCTAGTACATGACACTGTTATACAGCTCGGCGCAGCGTATCACGGTTCAGCTCAGCATGAAACAAACAACACGCCGTAGTACGGGTAAATGATGTATGGCAATGTGTAACGCTTTAATCGCTTGGGCCATTTTTGGCCAGCATAATGCATTCAGTACAGATGACGAAGAGCAGAACACACGATAGAACAGGTTAGTGAACAGACAGAGTGCAATACGAACAGAACAGGAGACAGGCCAGAGGACTGCAGAGTGGACAGGGCAGAGGACAGAATAGCGGACAGGTGATGGGCAGAAGGACATGGAATAGGAAGCAGGGCAGAGGATGAAACAGCACAAAGGACATCGGGTACGTGCCGGCCAGGGCAGCCCAAAGCAAGACAGAGAAGAGAAGGATAGGTCAGAGAACAGGCTAAGATACGGGTCGGACAGAACAAAGGGGCGCACGCAAGGACGGTGCAGGGCGGAGGTGAGGGCGTGATAGATGACATGGCAGGACAAGACTCGCGGGCAGAAGACAGGCAGAGGACTTTTGGACCAATGAGGGCAGGAAAGCCAGTCGAAGACAACGCCACACCTATTCAATCGCATTCTTCTCTCTTCTGTTCTGCCTGAACTACCCCCTCATGCTCTATCCCGTGTCCAACGGGACGGGACGGGACGGGACGGGGCGGGGCGGGGCGGGGCAGTGAAGGGGGGGGGGGGTTCACCGCAGGGCAGGGTAGGATCCGTGTTGCCCCGCTCGCTTCCGTTCACCTATAGTGTCACCTGTTCTCCACCCTTTGTCCTTAATGCTGCTGTCGAACTGTGCATTTTTACAGCCAAGAAACCATCAGTGTTATTGTACAGTCGTGTCTCGTATCGAGGCCGCTGGGAGGCTGCTATGATCACGTGGTACAGCCCGTATGGTTAAGGCCCTCCTCATGCGGAGATCAGCTGGTCGGCGGAGGTTACGGGGATGTCAGGAAGTGAGGTCGCCGAAGGTTCGAGAATTATGGGTCACGTCGGGGTCGTGTAGCTACCACGCGGCGATTCTGACCTGGGAGCCGGACGAGGTGGCTGATGTCTGTGTGGTGTAGTGTATGGCGGGAACCTGCGTGGCGTTATACTTGAATTGGTGACCTCGGGCGAGTAAGATGAGTCGGAGGCTAATATTACGTAAATACAGGTTGTGAGCAAAACGAACTTTAGCTGAAATAGAGAATAAGCTTCAGCTACCAGACATAAAGATTCGGGAGAAAAAGAAAACTGATTATCACCAAAGCTAAGCTTGAAGATGTGACAACGTGAAATCCACATGTCATGGCCAGTTCGTGGGTGACCATAACCATGCAGTGCATCTGGACGATCGTAACCGGAGGATCAAAGCTTTATATATTTTATGCGTGACAAAAAAGCTCCTTCCATCGCAGGAGGAATAAACAAATTATCAGATTTATGTTACGTGCTTTCGATCATTGCTCAAATATTGTGGCCCAGTTTTCCATGTGAGTTTCGCTGCGAAGCAGAGTCAATAAGCGAGAAAGTACGGAAGAGAACTTTACAAATCCTGTTTTGGTCGTGTTACACTGAAAGCTACATTCACGTGGTACAATGACTGGGCATGAAAATACTCGCGACAGAACAGAAAAAGTGTGCCTAAGGTTAAAAGGGATTTATGCATAAAGGAAAAGGACTTCCAAAGCAACGGTTGGCGATCTCAGGCAGAAATAACCAGTGTGCAGAAAAAACACACTTGAGGTTTTGATGCAGTGTGCAACTACGAAAATTAAGCATTCCGTATGTAACCAATCCTATAAGCACAGACCCTTTATCATCTGGGTGGCCCGATAGTTTGGAGGATCTTACGAGCGCAAAATGTTCACTACATGGATCTGTATACGCACTTGGCGAATTTTCATCCGAGTACGTTGCATCAATGAGCTGTGTGACCTGATGCTCCGAGTCGCGTTCTTTTAAATGAACCGCGCTCTCTTGCGCTCTCCCTTTCTCTCCCTCTCTCTCTCTCTCATCCGGTTTGTAATGGCATACGTGATTTATAGCGTCAGTGACGTGACCAGGTCGCACGTGCGTTATAGTAGCGACATCAGATCCCTACCTGACAGCAGTTAAGGCGCTAATTAGGACCCGCTTGGAGTCCGCGCGTCGTCTTCGTCTTTAAAAGACACGATGACCGCGGCTGGCAACCACTCTGTCTTAGTTATCACTTTGAAGTTCGTGGAATGGTGCACAGCCCGAACGTCCCCAGGAAAGAATGCTCAATGGGGAAGACCGAAGTCTCAGCGGACTCCAGCCAGTATCGCCGCCATTCCGGCATCAGGCGCACGAAGCCCCACAAAATACGCTTGCCGTTGCTGCTAAGAGCTCCAACTGTCAAGAAATGGATTGCCTAACGTTCTGAAAAATAACTTGAAAGTGCAACCATACCGTGTAGGTCACGACATCGAATCCACGAACATTAACATGATCTCGAACGTGAAGACACGGGTGATGATATGTGTCGGGCGTCACGTCGCATCACGTACGTGCTTCAATTCTTTTAAGTCATTAGAAGTATCAGAATGGGGCCGCACTTAGTTGTTCCCCTAAATCGTTAAACTAGTTCGTGAAGCTGGCTTCAGTGATCAGTCGCCGGCCCGACGTGTATTGGGGGGACTCATTTCCCAGACCCGTCACCCCTCCGCCTCTTTCGTTATGCTTATCTAAGGGAGGACTCTTTCTTCGCAGGTAGCCCACATACAATAGCTGAGCCCATGCAGTAGAGGAAGACAAGATCCGAGCGATCCACATGACTCGGCGCGTGAAAGTTGTGAACGACTCCTCTCAGCGTATTCGGGTGTGTTTGAAACTCGAAGAAAATGTCCACGGTTTGTTGTAAAAAGAGTCACAAAGTCAGCGCTCGACTCCTTATCGCTATCAAAATGGTGCATCAAGCAAGCGGAGGATTTCAAATTCGTGAAAATCAGATTAAATAGATTAAGTTATCGCTAGTGTCAGGTGTTGGACGAGAGGGGAGGGGCAGCTGTGAAGATCCCTTCCCGCTTCTGTCACAGGGTAGCATTGCCGGTGTCCTCCCGCTTCTGTCACAGGGTAGCATAGCCGGTGTCCTCCCGCTTCTGTCACAGGGTAACATAGCCGGTGTCCTCTTGCGACATAGCCAGTGTCCTCCCGCTTCTGTCACCGGATAACATAGCCGGTGTCCTCCTACGACTTCTCTCTTCTCTAGACTCTGGATCTTTACGCCCTTACGCCTGATTTGCTCGATTTCGCGAGGCCTTGCGGTAAATGAGAACATGCACAATTTGGGAAGATTTAGCATTCAACATAAACGTTTGTAAATAGCCTCATGTCTACAACGCCACCAAGATGGAAACCTTTTCACCCACATCCTGCGCGGGTGCGTCACTTTACGTACGACCTTTAAGCCCAAGCCTCAATAAATTCATGCTTTCAAATTAGACTTAAGATTATGTAAAATATAGCTCCAAAATGTCTAGATAGCCTTTTGAACCCCACAATTGTTCTTCAGTGACAATCCTGGACGCCCAGCATGCGGCCTACTGTGGGATACGAAACAAGCGATCTGAGCCGGTGGCCGGGCGACCTCCCGCCTGGTTTGCCTCAACTTGCGACTGCCCTCTAGGCGGACTGTACGCCCAGCTGACCAGATGGCGCGCTGCTCGCTGCAGATGGCGCGCCACGACGACACTTGGCTGACATGGGCAGCTCGCTGGTCAGCTGAGCCACAGCAAGAATGCGCGGCAGTCGTCCCTCTTGTGTGAAGCTGGACCACTATTTCCAGCCCGTGTGTGCAGCCAAATAATGCAATGGTCCACTCAGCACATGGTACGCTGTTCCCTCGCTGGTTCGGCTATCAGTGGCCTTTCCGGTGAACTACGACAAAATGGATCCTGGCCGTTATTGAGGCATATTCTGCTCACAGCCCCTTGAAACATCAAGCCTTACGCATCCAATCCAGTTTGGCCGGAGGCTGGCCCGAACCTGTGGTTTTCATCTCTACGGTCTGGTACGCCCAGGCGCGACACTGGTTGAAGATATCGAAACCGGAACAGAGTATTTCAACATGACGTGGTAAGCGTAAATCAGCCCAGCCTGGTCAGCGTGCAAACCGGCTCCAGTGTCTGCATCAAAGTCCAGCCACGTCAACAAATAGTTTATGACATCGAAGTACCGCGCCAAGTTGCAAAACCGTTCCAATAAATGCGCTTTTTTAGTCACGACCATATTCGAGATGTCCGAGGACGTAAAACGGCATTCAGCTGCGCCGCCGGTAAGGTTAGATGTTGGGCTTGTAGCAGGACAGACTCGGCTTGCAGGCGACGCCGCTGAAGTTGTCGTTGCAGCCTAGCCTCTCGTCGACGCAGAGCCAGGGACAGTTGTGGCAGGTTGGCGAGTCGTCTGGAAAGCGAGCACGGGCGATGACAGGCTGATGTCAGACAAAGGCTGCTGACTTCACCGCATGTAGCGCTGAACTCGACTGGGCATGGTTTGACACCTTTACCATGTTTGACATCTTTACCGTTTAAGATGCTTCCACCGACAATGCATTTGCGCTGGGGGCACTTATGTCGCACTAGGACACAGGTAGCACAACTCGACATGCCGAAAATGTTTTCTACAACCATCGACGGATAACTGGCCTTGCAAGCATACTCCAAACCTGCGCACTGATGGGATGCTAGCAGATTTTGCCACACATCCATTCTACTAGTTTTTGCAGATCATAGCATGCTTGGGAATGTTCAAAAACCACGCCCTGGCGACTTAAAGAACTGCTCCGCAAATGCATCGTGGCGATCAAAAGTGTCTGTATCAGGATTAGAGGATATCTCGGTTACGTCAATTTTCAGACTCAGTGGCGTTCTCCGTTGATACGATGACCCACATACGGCTTATTATTCACATGTAACGCTTCTGCGGCCGTAACTGGCTGCTGCTGCGGAGCACAGCGATAGGGTATCAGAAACAATGCGGGAATCTAAGGACAATACGAGGCACAGAAAGCAACGGAAACAACCACGATCACTCGCAGAGGACATCTCATTCTGGCGGAGTTTTACCAGCCGCCACGGATCTTAAGGCAGAGACGGGCGACCTTTGTCTGCTGACGGAGGGTGGGACCACCACGTGCCAAAGCCAGCTGCCGAATGCCACGGCCACGTGACATAAACACGCGGCGCTTAGCCCGGAGGGGAGGTGCGCAGTGGACCCGACATGGCTGGCCCGCGGACGTAAACAGAGCCGACCACGACACGGGCCGGGGCTGGACACAGCGACTCCGCTGGTCCCGGCCGAATAGCACGACACACGGCACCCGGGACAGGCAGGAGGCTGTGCTCCACCACACAGCGGCTCGGCTGGTCCTGGCCGAACAGCACGACACACGGCACTCGGGACAGGCAGCAGACTGTGCTCCACTATACAGCGGCTCCGCTGGTACTGGCCGAACAGCACGACACACGGCACCCGGGACAGGTAGGAGGCTGTGCTCCACTATACAGCGGCTCGGCTGGTCCTGGCCGAACAGCACGACACACGGCAACCGGGACAGGCAGGGGGCTGTGCTCCACCATACAGCGGCTCGGCTGGTCCCCGCTGAACATCACGACACACGGCACCCGAGACAGGCAGGGGGCTGTGCTCCACTACACAGCGGCTCGGCTGGTCCTGGCCGAACAGCACGACACACGGCACTCGGGACAGGCAGCAGACTGTGCTCCACTATACAGCGGCTCCGCTGGTACTGGCCGAACAGCACGACACACGGCACCCGGGACAGGTAGGAGGCTGTGCTCCACCATATAGCGGCTCGGCTGGTCCCCGCTGAACATCACGACACACGGCACCCGGGACAGGCAGGGAGGGGGCTGTGCTCCACTACACAGCGGCTCGGCTGGTCCTCGCCGAACAGCACGACACACGGCACCCAGGATAGGCAGGGGGCTGTGCTCCACTATACAGCGGCTCGGCTGGTCCCGGCCGAACAGCACGACACACGGCACCCGGGACAGGCAGGAGACTGCGCTCCACTACACAGCGGCTGGGCTGGTCCCGGCCGAACAGCACGACACACGGCACCCGGGACAGGCAGGGGGATGTGCTCCACTATACAGCGGCTCGGCTGGTCCCGGCCGAACAGCATGACACACGGCAACCGGGACAGGCAGGTGGCTGTGCTCCACTATATAGGATGCAGCTGGGCGCGGAGATCGGCCTGCTCTGAGACACTCATCATCCCCGCGGCAGGACCCCAAACCAGCGCCAATGCCTGAGTACAGATCAAGGCTCTGGGGGCGCATGACGTGCAGCTTTGGACCAAAAACCCTCGTGTCAGCGCTCCATGGCCCCCTATCCCCTTACACACACAAGCATCATTAAGCCGCCCTGTGGAACACGATGGGGTCCTAAGATGGGGCGGAGCTAGTTCATATTGATGTTTGGAAGCAGTCAACCGGGTTGCTGCATGCAAGGAATTACAATAACCAACAGGACGCATTTAGTGCAAGCGAATTGTATGGCTGTCGTTCGGGCTTGACATGCATCTGAAATGGGGACGTAACGAACCATGTTTTGCATCGGTGATACACGTGAGAATGAAGGTAACAAGGACGAAACAAAGATGAATGGCTCTCGAGAGCACATGAACGAAATGAGTCAACAAATGTCGCGCACAATAGTTGTCGATTCCAATGAACACGGCAGTGGTGACTTTCTGGGTATTTGGATGGTCACAACATCTTTAAAACCAAACTCGTCGGCCACAAAGCCATTACATACCCAGTGTTGTCGAACATACGCAAAACAAGATGAAAAACAGCTGGGAATGACGAACACAACAGAGCTCTTTAACAGTTAAGCTTCAGCTCCTAACATCAAACTCATCAATCATAAAACTATTGCATATCAACGCAATGTTGTCGAACATACGCAAAGCAAGACGTGGAGACACAGCTGCTTGAAATAACGTACACAACAAAACGGTTATCAAGTTTAGGTGTGGGCGGATGCAAGTTGGGTACGAGGGAATTTTGTCTCACCTGACACGCATAGCGGTCTGAGTTGGCACACCTGCCCCACACAGATTGCCTGACAGCGTTGGTGATAGCCACATGTTATGCCATGACATGGGTCGAATATATGGACGATCGTGTCTGAAACAGATGGAGACATGTAACAGGCCCGCGCTGCGATACACCTATCACACCACACACACACACATATATATATATATATATATATATATATATATATATAATATATATATATATATATATATATATATCACATAAATATAGCAGTGTCTGAGAGCAGTGTCTCTGTGGTGTGTGGTGTGTGGTGGTGTGTGGTGTGGCGTGGCGTGGCGTGGCGTGGCGTGGCGTGGCGTGGCGTGGCGTGGCGTGGCGTGGCGTGGCGTGGCGTGGCGTGGCGTGGCGTGGCGTGGCGTGGCGTGGCGTGGCGTGGCGTGGCGTGGCGTGGCGTGGCGTGGCGTGGCGTGGCGTGGCGTGGCGTGGCGTGGCGTGGCGTGGCGTGGCGTGGCGTGCGTGGCGTGGCGTGGCGTGGCGTGGCGTGGCGTGGCGTGGCGTGGCGTGGCGTGGCGTGGCGTGGCGTGGCGTGGCGTGGCGTGGCGTGGCGTGGCGTGGCGTGGCGTGGCGTGGCGTGGCGTGGCGTGGCGTGGCGTGGCGTGGCGTGGCGTGGCGTGGCGTGGCGTGGCGTGGCGTGGCGTGGGCGTGTGTGCGTGCGTGCGTGTGTGTGTGTGTGTGTGTGTGTGTGTGTGTGTGTGTGTGTGTGTGTGTTTCCCTTCCAGTTTCCGAAGCGATAGCACAGCACACTGTTAAAAAGTGCCGAGCTTGAGGAAACAGACGCATTGCCTCTAAGAGACCGATGGAAGGCAGCATACGTGTGCGAGGAATGCACGCGTCGTGTTTCACCGGCAAAACTGGCCTGTTTCACGTGTGGCGCACGACCTCAGCCCGAGGAATGCGGCGCACGGCCCCCACCGTGGACGTGTCACGCACGGCAAATGCGGCGCACGGCTCCCACCGCGGACGCGTGACGCACGGCGTGCATGGTGCACCGAGCGTTACCTACCATCGTTGCAAGCCTTCAGCGTGCAGAGCTGCTCGGTGCCGCAGGAGCACGAGTTGCAGCCGTCGAAGTACGTGACGCCGTTGGGGCACGTCGCGGGCGACGAGGGCTGCCGGGAGCTGGGTGTGGTGCGCCGGCTGGCGATCCGCTCCGCCAGGCGACTGCCGTCTGGGGGGGGGGGGGGGGGCACCCGTCTGAGTGGCGTCATGCGCGGAAGGCGTCACAGTAAAGCATACAAAGCGGAGTTCTTGCGGAGTCCACCGGTTTGCGGTTGCTGGGAAACGGGTCTCACAAACCGGTCATTCACAGTTTTCATTCGAAACATCTTCATGTCACACGCAAAGCATAACAACTGAGAACAAATACCTATATGTTTTTTTCCTTGTCATGACAATGAGGGTCAAGCTTTTCATGAATGAATTGCGAGTATTACATAAAACTGTTAATAATTAACTTGCTAAAAATATGTTGTCGCCGTATAATGCATAACTACAGCCAAAGTATTCACAACGATTCCAAAGCGATCACGTGCCAGGCAAACCACATAGCAGGCGATCCATTCGGTTTGTACACTGCTACACTGCTAGCACAGCGAGCACGATGCATGCCACCAAGCTGGGATTCTTGCTTTTAGCAGGACGAGCAATATTTCCTTAACTAGAACAGCTCACGGATTGAATTTTCACGGTCCGGTTCGGTCTAGTTCGGCTGGTGCAGATCCAATCCGCTCAAACCTCGCTTTCGCACAGATTGCTCAACCCAATCCGCTCAAACCTCGCTTTCGCACAGATTGCTCAATCCAATCCGCTCAAGCCTCATTTTCGCACAGATTGCCCAATCCAATCCGCTCAAACCTCGCTTTCGCAAAGATTGCTCAATCCGATCCGGTCATGCCCGACTTACCAGAAAAATATATATGAATGAATCTATCCCAGTGTCCCTCCATATCAAGAACTTAAAAAAGAATCAACAGAATAGTGGATACATTTGAGCATATTAAATTTGTGTTGGGTAGTTGTCAAAAACCAGTGGGTGCTAAGATACTAAGCACGCCTTGCCGCCTGTTGGGAATGCAATTTTGCATGACGACCAGCACAAACAAGGCTCATCATATTATTAATCGTATCACAATCATTTCGGCCAAAAATCCACAACCTCTTCCACATTGCGGGGTTCAAGATCGCTTCTGGTTGCAATAAACAAAAGGCATGAGCACATCATTGAACATATTCAGGCACCAGGTTGGACGTAACACATCTACGCACGCCACGCAACAGTTTCAGAGGCACCCGGTTCACAGGCGAGGGACGGCGCCGGTCCACTACACCTTTGAATAATCCGGTCCAATCCAGCGCGTGGATGGATCCACAATCCGCGAATTTGTCTTATCCGCGAAACGCTCTACTCTGAGCGTCTGTGTAACTGGTGGTTTGACTACCTCGCGGATAAAACGGAGATGCGTTGTGAATTTGATATCATGACACCCTATATTTTGCATAACACAAATGCCTGTTTACTGCCAAGTTATCACATAGCACGCGCTTCCAACGCATAGTTCAAATACATGCCTACTACTGACTGCTGAGATATCACATGAAGTATGCGGAGTTCGAAGCATGCAACCCCAATAACTATCACCTTAAATACTTGAAATATAATTTCGGGTTATTATCGTATCAACGGTTTCAGCTTACGTGGATTTGTATAAAGATACTTGATACGAAAATATTTGTAATGATTCATTCCGAGCAAAATGCGGAGATAACACACACGAAACTAACAGGGCGGGAACAGAAACAGACTAACCAGGAGGGACGGAGGGAGGGAGCGGCAGCTGTGGGACAATTGGTTTTCATCCAGTCACAGCGAGTGTTGATTTCTGCTAGGTGGTTGGAAAATATGATAATTATTACAGCGAGTGTTTCACATTTATATGGGGTTTTGAGCTGAAGTGGCGATCTTGAAAACCTTTTTGTGCTGCTCACCATCCTGTCCTCCTTAAGACCAAAGCCCACCTAGTTTCTGAGCTACATGCCCGCGGAAATGGGAAAGGTATATCGGGGAGTGTTTCAAAGTCACCTTGGCATTCATGACGTCATAATAGCTTCATTCAAATCTTGCCATCGCATAAACCATGCCGCTACCAAGGCCGAGAAAAATTTACCTGTCGAAGCGTTCATATTTGGCGTTCGCAAGCACGATTTCCAGACATAACGGTCGGCTATTGGATTTATTATTGGTACGATGACGTAATCAAACCATGACGCATTGAGGTGCATATTTATTCAACAGAGAACTGTGCAGTCTAGAGCAGTGTTCTCCACTTTAAGTACACCAATAATTACAAGTGAGCTTGTTTCCTCATACCTGATGCTTTCTCCAAATGAATCATTCAAATGTGAATCATTCCCTTTCATGAACCATCTTCAGGCAGCGCGAGGCTAAAAAATCTCAAGTCTAAGCCGAGCATACTTCTCAAAAATGGTCCAAGTATCCGTTATACGTGAGTCGTCTTTTGAAGTGAATAAAACAGATTCTAAGCATGGATTACGTAGGTTCTAAGAATAGATTCTAAGGATCGTCGGATGCCCTTTCGTGGGGAGGGGGACAGAATCCTCTTTCCTGAGGATGACGTCAACATTTTGCCTAGTTCTGAGTTGTGTGGATGGGTTGTCATGTACGTGCAGTATCTCCGCTGTGGACGACGTCTCACGTTAACTCGTCTGCTGCGAACAGCGTGGAACGGCGAACATGTCTCAAATGGCAGCGGCGCGAACGGGCCCGCGCTCAGTCAGAAGGGAGTAAGCACGTTTCGGTAAAAAATACGACAGGGATAGACCTCTCGCTGCGATGGACGTCGCCCGGCAGCAGCATTCGGTTCTGCGGCGGCGACGTCGTCCCAGTCGTCGGTGACGCGTCCCCTGCCCTCTCTCGGCCTCCCCCCGCCGCGCCGCCCAAGACCGGCTGATACCCGTCCGGGGCTTCCGAAGGTCAGGAAGAGCGCCGGTCCGGCACGAGCGGCCGGTCGCCGGCCTGGCCAGGCGTCGCGTCCCCAGCCGCCGCCGCCGCCAGGCCGGGGCCGTCTGACACTGGCCAGCCACCGGCCGCGTAACGCCTCAGCGTACTGACACGGCGCGCTTCCTGTGGCCTTCACCAAACCTCGACCCAAAACGACCCGTTGAGCTGATAACACAAAACAGCCCAAGGGCCGAGCAGCGCGCTGACCATGTCCCTATCATAGACGCTACGGGCTCAGAGCAGTCCCTGCACAGCACGGCTCGGTTCGTACCATACTAACAGAGCCCAAGGGCCGAGCAGCGCGCTGACCATGTCCCTATCATAGACGCTAAGCGCTCAGAGCAGTCCCTGCACAGCACGGCCCGGTTCGTACCATACCAACCGAGCCCAAAGACACCCTGCAGGGCATTCAAAAGAGCAAAATCGATGCTGGATAAGAACCATAGTCGTTACCAGCACACATCATTAACAAATGATTTCAGGTAAAAAATACAACAAATGATGCAATCACACAAATGGCAACATAATTTCGCCCGAGGATAATGTTTCTCAGGAAACGTTCATAATCAGCGAAGGAAATCACCAGTCCCGAGCAGTTTGCCGACAGCGCATTTAACAGATAAACTGGATCTCAAAAGCGTAACAGCTAGCCGCCAAGGCAGCTCATCGCCTTGCAATGCTTAATGATTTCTGGACATGCACACCAGGGAAACAGCCCTATCATTCTGTGACATGCAGTGAGCAAATGCTCCCGTCAAACACGCGAGCGAGCAGACTCCCGTCCTAAGATGACACGCAGAGAGCTGAGTCATCCGTCATTGGATCACGCGCAACGAGCCAACACATCCGTTCTTTGATCACGTGCAACGAGCCAACACATCCGTTCTTTGATCACGTGCAACGGGCCAAGATACGCGTCCCTTGATTACGTGCAACGAGCTGAGACATTCGTCCTTTGATCGCGTACGGCGAAATGAGGCTATTATCCTTTGATCCCGCACGGTGAGATGAAGCTATTTTCCTGTGACCACGTAGGCGAGATGAGTCTTTTATCCATTGATCATGTACGACGGTCTGATACGTCCTCGTGTCCACTTGCAGGAGATTGTTCGCGCTGACACCGGCATTTCGATGTCTGACGTGGATCTAGTGCGTAGATTTCACAAGTGAATCCCAAAGTACAGTGGCTTGTCGGAAACATTTGTTTTTCGGTTTTCTTCTTTTCGGTTTCTTTCATTTCGGTTTTTGGAATTCTAGACGATGGAATTTTCTTCCAAAATATAAAAAACATCCCAGATCCCAGGACAGTTTTTGGAATTCTAGACGATGGAATTTTTTTCCAAAATATAAAAAACATCCCAGATCCCAGGAGATAATGAAACAATACTATAATGAAGAAACTAGATTCCAGGACATTACCTGGCATGATGAATGCAAGATCCTGTATTTCAATGGATCTGGATTGATCTAAAAAGATTCAGGATTTTGAAAAATGTTGGAGCTTTGGTATTTCCAAACAAGGGACTTTCGATCCATTGGGGCAATCCACAAACCAGGCAGCATCTGTTCTGTTCAGCAATCTGTTCTTCCGCTTAAATCCGGTCCTCAAATCAGGCAGCGATTGTTTATATGGCTATTCCTATCTTACTGCTTTCCTTGTTCATTCAACATTGAATGGAAAAATTTAGACCGTAAGAGCAGGCTGTGGCATGACAACGGCAGTCGGATATTTCATGTCGTTGCTTAGACATAACAGGTCAATAAGCTTCGGCAGCCACTTGAAACCCTGAGGTTTATGTAATGTCTTTATATCCCGTCAACGGCAAATCTCTGAAACAACTTTCTTTTCATGAAATAAATATACAAGACCTAAAAAGGTGGTTCTGGAAATCGCTTTGAAATATTTGGTTAAAAAGTAATGGACCCTGGAGCTTCTTAAAATGATAAAGTAATTCAATATTCATTAGCAAACACTTCAACTCGTGTCGTTTTACAACAAAAAATCGTGTGGTCAAATTTTCAGATGAATCTTGGAATGCCGCCACCCAGGATCCAGACCTCGGAGTCCACGAGCATCTTTGCTCGACACCAATCTGCAATGGCAGGCCGCTGGCCAGAATCAGTCACCATCGCCGCCCTCACCCCGGCCCGTACAGAGGCCTCAATCCCCAACACTTCGCACGTGCAGCGCCTCCGGCTCCCGGCGCCGTGCAGCGCTCCTGGCTCCCGGCGCCGAGCCGCGCGGCGCTCCCGGCTCCCGCGCCGAGTCGTGCAGCGCTCCTGGCTCCCGTCGCCCAGTAGTACAACGCTCCCGGCGCCGAGCCGTGCGGCGCTCCCGGCTCCCGGCGCCGAGCCGTGCAGCTCTTCCAGCTCCCGGTACCGCGCACGAGCAGCGCCCCTAGCTCCCGGCGACGAGCACGTGCAGCCAGTCGTATCCCAGGCCGGTTTACCTTACCTCGGTTGGTTTCCAGCCGGTCGGCCTCCTCCTCGGTGAGCACGACGCAGCCGACGCGTGCCAGCGGCCCCAGGCGGAACACCTGGGCCGAACGGCTGTCACCGCGCCGGCCCCAGCCACACTCACCGGCCGTGGCCAGCAGCAGCGGCAGCCAAACGCAGGTCAGCAGGCGCAAACGCGGCGACGACGCCATCTTCGGTCTGGCAGCGGTCCCCGTTACTGGCTCAGTGGCTGGTTTGTCTCGCTCTCAGCGCACCTGCCGGAAAAACACACCGGGAGGGCCGTGACGTCACGGCGTCTGGTTTGCACGCAGCACCGGCGGCGCCGGGAGGCCAGCATGCGGGACTGGCGGACGTGCTGCGGTGCTGTTTGCCAGCAGCGTGTACAGCTCGCTGGGCCCTGGCCTTAACCCAGTTGGGAAGTGGAACATTGTCAGTCAAGGGGTAGTGATGCTTTGGGTATCAGAGGGCAGGTTGTTGATCTGATGCAAGCCCTCCTGAGGGTATTCTGGCACAACAAAATGTCAAACGAAAATTTTGTGTAAGAGGCGTGTGATTAAAAACGGAAAATTGAGGACCAAGTATGCAGAAAGATAACCAACTGCAGTGAAACATAAAATGAAAACAAGCTACAATCTTACGGAATTGTAAGACGGTAGACCTGTGACGAGGTATCACCCACGGCATGATTGACTTTCATAATACACCATCATCCTCACCTGGTGCTCTCGTCGAGTACACAACATTTCCAATGCATTCTACGGTGATCGTCAGAAATATTGCCGAATACTAAATGATGTTTGGATAACAGCCAAGTCTGCGTCACAATCCAAATTGTCTACTTAGAATTGCCAGGATTTGAACTCTTGTGTTCTAAAATAGAAGACCTCAGTTCGATTCGAACTAGCAGTTTTGTGAGTCCAGCAGAGGCCAGTCAAGTCCGATATTCAGTTCAAGTCAAGCCAAGCCCGAGTCCAGTCCAGCTGTTTGCCACAGAACTAACGGGCCAAGGAACCCGTGTGACGTTACATGTGATATCATTCGCCTTATGGATATTGTGGGGCACTTGACATCTGGTCAATGGAAGCGAATTCGTGCAAACAAAGGACGCTGTTGATGATGGTTATGTTATCCCATGTTAGCTATGCAAGCTATGCCACGCCCAAGTTAGGTCTCAACGCCGATGGTTGTCGTTCTGTGTTCGTCCACTTCTGTTGTCGTCATTGGGGCTTTACGACGCACTCAGCTGCTGAGGCTATATGACGTCGCCTGCCTCTCACCCTGATGGGAAGGGTGGGCACCGCGGAAAATCGAACCCCGTACCTCTGGTTCCCCATAGGCGCAGTGGTTAACGCAGACGCATTAGCCACTGCGCTACCGGCACCCTGCTCATCCTGTCCGACCAACAGTGGGCGACCAGTTCCTGCTTTGTAGGACCTATCGCAATTGCATGACACGTGCATGCAGTTCTTGGCTTAAAGTGTCGGTGGTCTGGCTGTGGAGCGCACTCCGGAGCGTTCAGTTGCTTCTGAAGACTGTACTGATGCATCGCACAGGGATTTCTCTAATCTTTTCTAGCAACCCCCTATAAGGTAATGATACCCATGCTGTTGGTTTTTCCTCCGGCCGCCCTCCTTCCTCAGCAAACTCTTGAGCTGCTGATCTATGGAAGCCTTTTACGTGCCACGAGTGTCTTGGTTTCAGGACGGGTTGGATTGGATTGGATTGGATTGGATTGTGTTGCGTTGCGTTGCGTTGCGTTGCGTTGCGTTGCGTTACGTTGCGTTGCTTTGCGTTCCGTTGCGTTGCGCTGGGCTGGGTTGGGTTTGGTTGAGGTGGGTTGAGGTGGGATAGGGTGGGGCGAGGATGTCGGGGTGCTAGGATGGAATGAGACCGGATAGGACACGTCAGGACATACCAGGCAAGACAAGGTGCACTGGGTCCTGTCCTTTCCCATTTCGTTCCGTCTCGCGCGCTCCAAGCTAGGACGGGACTCAATAGCATGAACATTTAGTCTCGCCCCAATAACGTCTTCCACCAGCAACGGAAAGCTGCAGTCCATTCTACGGAAACCCGCCAAGCTTACAGACGTTTCCCGCTTCGCGTTGGAATGAGATCTTTGTTTATTTCGTTTTTCATCCGTTAACTTTTACCATTTTGACACCTTTAACTCCACTGACACTTTGTCCCGACTTTTTTATTCGGACCGTTATCCCCAGCAATCTTAGATCGCCTTTTCAGCGGACTACTTACAGCTGAAATCTTTCCATTTTGCTTTTCACCGTGGCCACTTACTGAAGGTATCCGTAACAATAACCCTTTTAAGTAATGGCTACGGAACTATGGCGCTATGTTGTCTATTTTTCACTATCTTATTTCACAGTGACTTCGACATGTCCAGAAATGCTCTGATATAGGTCACGTCACGTCACTGACCTACACACCTGGGGAGCCTGAGCATGATGAACTGAAAGATCGCTTAATGCGGCATCTGCTCAATGTAGCAAGACAGTTCGGTTGATTTTGTTGGCTGTCTAGCGATCGTGTCCCCACGGGCTTCATCCGACAACGGTGTAACTCCCAAGCCGGACACGTTCTCATCTGACAGCACCAGCTTACGTCAAATGTCACAATTGTTCAATGGCGTTATTGTTCAATTCACGGTCAGTTAATTTAGTACACCTTTTTCATTCAATGCAATTCTCAGAGGGTGAATAACATGAACTGAGCACCAGTCACTTAGGGGCAAGTGGTGTGCAAACTTAACGAAAGCCTAGCATCTGCTTTACCTTTGAACCAGAGCTCCGACACCTGACGAATATGTTCGTAGCAAATCTTACCCAGCATCGTGAGTGCTACCAGACGGCGCACCAGGCGGTTTGATCAAAGTGGTAGGTGAACCACGAAGCAATGATTTAGCTTTACTTCAAGAGTGAATTTTTGTCCTGGCATATCAATTTTATCTAATCTTTTTTGATAAATCGCCTTTTTAAATCCCGAATTGGCACCAAGCCCCGCCAGTGCAAAACTCTGGGGATTCGTGAGCATTCTCCAAGTAAGGTTTCGGGTGACATTGTTGAGTTCTCCAAGCGACGCTTCAGATGACATTGTTCAGTTCTCCAAGCGACGCTTCAGATGACATTGTTTAGTTCTCCAAGCAACGTCTCGCGTGGCATCATTTGCATCCAATTTTGTCCACTGCAGCGCCGCAAAATAAAGGTACGCATCAGGGTCTCACGGCAAACACAGGGCACGCAGGACATGGCGAAAATACAGGCCCGCATTGTTGGTGCATTACGCTAGCCCGCTGGTGAACCTTTTGCACCAGTGATGCACGCGTGCATGCACAGGTGACAGACACGCTACGAATTGCGCCGCTTCGTTTCCGCTGGTGAGGCCTGCTGCATATATGCAACAATGCAACACAGCGAATGTGGGAAAACCCAGTCACCTCGTCGTACTGAATTGCCACCCAAAAATTCCATGGCTGTGCTGCACCGCGATGGAAATACCTCAACAGCGGTCGGCGACTTGAGCCCACCCGAGGTGGCTGGTGGTGTCAGCATGTGCCTGGGGGATTCTCCGTACACATATCACCTGCGATAGATGGGATTGCAAGCGGCCTCCCCACAGATGCGTGCTTGCTGGTATATCGCTGGATGGCTGAGGAAGATGAGCGAACCTTTTAAACATTGTGGCTGGCTCATTTGTTAAAAGACAGAGGACGCAGTGAGGCACCCAAAATACCTTCGGGTAGTACAAACAGGTAACTTCGGGACGGACGATATAGGCTCTTTATTAGGCGTTAATCGAGGTTCGTACTTCTTGTCAGAATATAACAGTTTTTATAAGACAACTATATTAGACTTCCCTAGACCAAAATATGATAACCAGTATCTGAAAAAGCGGCATGGTATCGCATTACTCTTGAAAACAAAATAATTACGATTTCACACTGGCGAAGGTGTTCGCAGTACGCCACAGCGTCAAAAGATGGCGCTGATCAGTGCTGGTTAGGCGAGTCAGCTCAGCGTTCGATGAGTTAGCTACGCATGGGGCGAAGCCTCCTGTTGTGGTAACAAGAAAAAGGGGTACGGGTAGGAGTAGGAGTAGAAGTAGAAGTAGGAGTAGGAGAAGGGATAGGGGCTACGTGGGCTTAGTTAGGTTAAGTTAGGTTAGGTTAGGTTGAGCCAAGCTGAAGCCCAGGAAATTGTCGGTATTTTTAGGACAGTGACGTCATTTGTTATCACGTTGCGCAGCGAAAGAAAAAATCATACGCTGCCACTGCGCATTGTGCATGGTGTGGTCGTGAAAGCATCGGTTGCCGGTTAGGCACCGGCAATAATTCGAGAAAATAAGGCGTGGAATGCTGAGCCAGGACGGATCGCGTAAAACATCGTAATTAATCATCCTTGAAAATTTCGCGTGTAGGTTTTACCTCAATCACGACCACTGTATCACGAAATCAGATCCACAAACATCACAGGCCTGCACAAAGACAAGACCCGCCTGAATGATCATGTTACAGAGCTCCAAATGCCTCCATTTCGGAACACGGCACTGAATCACACCGGAATTTTCAATGATTTACTTCGCACTACAACTGAACCTTGGGTGCGCCAGAATCTTCTTTTCGCGGAAATCAAAACCAGAACCACCGTCACCGATTTCCGGAAATCTGGAAGAGTGGCTGACAAGGGCGAACGTAAACAGATGTTTGACCTTCAAAGGCAGGGTCGGTTCGGCGTCAGCGAAGACAGCCGTGTGGCCCACACATCGCCTCCATCTGGGTTGGCTCCAATGTGCGGGTGTCATGGCAGATGAGTGGGACGTTGAGCTTCTACCCATCGCTAACACCACGTGTTCATCGTGATGTTTATTATTATTATCATCATCATCAGCTCTCAATTAAGCATTCCCAATCACGGCACATCGCGAGTTTGTGCTGCCGTCCAGGAAACGCTAACGCTGCGACCAATAGCCCAGTGTGCTGGGCATCAGCCGCTTAAGCAGATCGCGTCAACCGACACATCCCTCCTGGACAAGCACCCTGTTTATGGACAAAGAACGACCTGCAAAGAGCCCGTCCACTGCGTCGGACGCATATGGGGCATCGATGCGGTGAACCTGGCGCATGTGTGCGTCGAATTCAGTTCAAGTCAATCCAACATGGTTTCTTATCACTTGAGCTTCGAAATAATGTGGGGTGTTTTCGCTTCAACCTTTCACTGAAATGTGCTTATTCCGTGAAACATTGATCTTTTAAAGAACTTTCCGATTTACGGCGTGCATGCGTAAACATTGCTGAAATGTCGCCGCCACACTTCGTGTTCGGCGTAATGTGCACCAAGGATGAGTCAAGGATGTCAGCGAGCGCATGCACAATGCCTTTTAAACAACAGGTTCACTTCCCAAGAAGCACCAGCCAACAGCAGCATTGTGTCAATCTATATCAGGTGGCTTATGATAACGTACCTGCATTAATCTCGACGCATTTGCGCACGGCGCTCGGCGGGCAGTCCCTTTCCGTAGACCAGTGCCAGGCTAAAAAACATCCGAAATCTAGCCCGGTAATCCCCAGGCCGCCTGGAGAACCTGCTCTTACCTGCCAGCCGTGCTGCACGCTGCTCCCGACTGCGCAGCACTGCCCCGCAGCGACCACAGTCCGCTTCAGCCCGGTAATCCCCACACTGCGCGGAGGATCCGCCCTTACCTGCCAGCCGTCCCGCTCACTGCTCCCGACTGCGCGACGCTGCCCCGCGGCAAGCACAGCCCGCCTCAGCTGGAAATCCCTCCACTGAGCGCGAGCCGACGCGCGACCCCGGCGTGTTCGCCTCACACGCCGCCGAGCGGCGCCACTGGTCGACCCGCCGAGCCGCATGTAAACAAGGTCGGCTGGCCAGTCGCCAGCGCAGGGTGGTGAATCTGCAGCCGGCCAGCTGACCCAGGGTCGTGAACACAAAGCGAAAACGGCGAAAAGTTCGGTCATTCTTGACAAAATCCGAATTACAGCTGATTATGGTGACATCATGACAAAAAAAAAAAAACAGGCCAGGCTCTCGGAGACGGTCAGACACCATCCTACGGGATATGGTTTGCTTTCTGCCAGGGCCGGCGCCAGTTGCTCAGGCGGAGGGAGGCACAAGGGCACGTGCCCCCCCCCCCCCGTAGGTTCCGAGAAGCTCGAAGGGCCCCTCGGGACCTACGACTGAGGCCCGATTTGAGGCCCAAAGGGTCGTAAGGCCGGCCGGAGGTCGTATTCGGGGCCCATCCCGCAGGGCCGGGCACTTCAATGCTATACAGAGGGCCTTACGCACTTACCAGGGGCCCCTAAGTCGATAGAAAGAGTTCACTAAACTTTGTGAAGTGAAAAGCGCCGGTTATTTATTGCACGCAGTCGTTTAACGCATGATCTCTTCAGTTGATTGACTATAAAGTTCAGGCATAGTTGATTTTGCAATAGCTTCTGGCTTCTATTCCAGCTATAAAAGACAAAAGTGTGAGGATAAAAACGTGCCTTCAGCAACACATTGGCCATATTCAGTGTTTTTTTGGGGGGATGGGGCTATTACCATCAGGGAACCGTTTGTCAACCCTGTGCCCCTACCTTGCCAAGGCTCTGGCTGCGCACCCGGCCTGTGCCACCAATTCTTGATAGGGGAACGATATGGTAAAGCCATCACGACATTTGAATGCAAACATGGGTGGGAAATCATGCGTTTAAAAACTGGTGTTCTCGTGTGTGACCAATGCCTTGCAAATTCCTTGCGGCCTTGTGCTGTACCACGATAAGGCACCGGTCCGCGGAAACAGGGCATAGGGCGAGGGCTCAGACCCGCGACTTTGCGACAATTTAACATTGGCCCTGTGAGCGTTGACTGGACATAATCCGAATGACTCTCCTCTCCCTCTCAATGCAGAAGTAAGTCTGTTCCACCATGCAGAGGAAGCAACCTTATCACTGTTTCGTAGCTTCTTCTGAGCAGTCAGCATACTGCATGTTATCGTCTAGACCAGTTCGCCAGATGATGTACCAGTGTGCAAACATGTGCATGTTCAGTGACGAAAGCTTCGTAGGGGGATATTTGATGTATTTTTTGCCCGGCAGCTACGCCATGGCTTGGACGCCCGATTCAAAAATGATCTTGCTCGCTCGCTTACGGAAAAACAGTAACAAAAAGTCTGGTCATTTTTATGCTGTCAGTAAAAGCATCCCAACGGCACACGGCCCGAGGATCACGGAGTTCACATATTCCTTTCAGGTCTGCGCCACCACTGGTTATCGAGCAGCCCTAAGCGCAGCGTGCTTCGACGTAATGCGTTCAGGCTCGCAAAGCGATTGTAGCATGAACTGGATCCATCCGACCATGGCGAAGGCGGTATACGGGACCCGGTTTTGATGCGTTGATGCTATCCTGCGTCACCACGGAAGGAAATGCTCCACATCTGAAACTATTGAAGCGAGCGAAGAACTACGACTGAAAACGTGCTTTTTATAGCTTGGTCTCATCAAAGCAGTCGTTGGCTCTGATGCAAAACAAGACGCGAGACACGAATCTGGTGACATGATTCACATAGCTCCGTAACTTTTGCTTAAAGACAATATCCCACCTTTTTGTACTTTTCACTTATTGCTGTATCAGACGCGGACGACGTGATCAGTAATGTCAATCTTTCCAAATCTTTTACAGGTTAGAACTTCCATTTGAAGTAGCGGATTTAGCGGGCGAAATCTCATTTGACTCCCTGCTTACCACTCCGAAAGTAATACATTTCATTTCCCTTGCTTTTTCCAACGTGGATGTGTTACAATGTTTGCAACACACTAATGTGTCAAAATGTCTAGGTAATAAATGCTACAAAAGCTTAAAACACCACGTTTAGGCACTATTCATCAGCAAAAATGTATTATCCCGCGCATTCAACGAAATGTTATAAAATGGCTTTGATTTCTCCCCCATGGCATTTACCAGTGTTTGTTTTCGAAACGCACTTTGGCTTTGGGAATGGAAGTATCACATGACCCACGCGACGCACTGGTTCAAACTGGTACCAACCAACCTTTCGGTAACGGACTCTTGACCGCTGGGCCAATCATAAACGTTCTTTTATTCGCACCAGTAGAGGTGCGCACGGTGGTTGTCATGACGGTGGTGGTTGCGAGGCGTTATTCTAGTGGAAGTACGCTTCACACGCTTTTCCTGTAGTTCTTTGTTGCTGTTCACTGGTAGTTTCCGGCGCGTCGACTGCAATGGTCATTTTGCGCCCATAACGATGCTTTTACTTTATTAGTATGGAGTAAAAATGACTTGAAAATCAATATATTTTGAGAAAAGAGACGTTTGGTATCAAGAAAGGAGGAAATGTCACCGAGCACATCGCTAATCGTCAGGGGCGAAGCCTGCGGACCAAAGTGAAGTCGTCGTTTTTCGATGAGGCACGGACATGATACAATGGCATGGTGGACAGTGAGGACGGCACCACACCGCTGGCATGGGGGTCTGTCGGCTCCATACAACAGATGGCCATGGGTGGCATACGTATGCCCAATGCGCAACCTGCTTAAAGCCACTTCTTCCCACCGCACACTGCGAGAGCATGACGACCACAAGCCCAACTCGGTTTTTATCGCCCTGAGCTTATTGCCGCCCACCTGGTCCCAACAACGCTGCAATTTGCTTCCCAGGAAGGTCTTGACTGCCGGGTAGAAATCTCTGGCAGGGATAGGCAAAAACCGGGTATATGATGCCACTGCTGTTCGCTTAGCAGCGACATCAGCCAGCTCGTTACCCGCGATACCGACGTGACTGGGGATCCAGCACAGGGCAGTCTCGTTCCAACCCGATTCAACTGTGTCAGGCGTGATAAAATGTCCTGTACAAGGGGACATGATGGATAAAAAGATTTCAGTGCAGAGAGACTGCTCAGTAAATCTGCAAAAATGGCGTGTGAAGATTCTTCACCAACTTCTATGAAACATATTGCGTTGGTGATCGCAATTAATTCCGCTGTGAAAACTGACGAGTGGGCCGGTAAGGAGTACGATCGAGTGACGGAACCGCTGACGAGAGCACAACCCACGCCATCCGAGGTTTTGGATCCGTCTGTGTACGTCAGGGTGTACCCTACATAATACGCCAGAAGCTCAAGTTCCCTGGATCTCATTAGGTGTGGTGTGACGTCTTTTTTCCTAATTTCCGTAAGCGAGGTGTCAATGAAGGGTATGATCACTTGCCAAGGAGGAGAAGCCAGGTGGCTTACTTGCTTTACACCTCGAAGAGGAATTCCGCTCTCGAGCAATAAGGCTCTCATTCGGAAACCAAAAGTCAAGGCGTGCTGCTGCGGCCCATGATAAAGGGAACTCACGGCAAACCGAGAAAATACTGCAGAATATGTCGGATGAAGTGGGAACTGCCGCAGCTTCAAGGCATAACGTATGCCGAGCATTTTCCTCCTCGTCGAAAGTGGTGGCTCGTGTGCCTCCGTTAAAAGGCTGACGGAGGGCGATGTGCGGAACGCCCCAGTAGCAATGCAAATAGCAGTATGGTGGACGGTATCAAGAACACGCTTGCTTGATTCAGACGCGCCATCATACACAAAGCATGCGTAATCCAGTTTGGAGCGGACGAGTGAACGATATAAAAGCATAAGCGTGCCTCTGTCTGCCCCATACGATGTGCGAGGCATCCACTTTAGTATGTTGAGAGATTTAAAGCAGCGATCGCGTAACATTTTAAGATGTGCATTATGTGTAAGGCGGCGGTCAAAGTGCATCCCAAGGTGCCTGGCCACGGCCTTATTTGGAAAAGAGCGACCATACAGACGGATGATCAGGTCATCACATCGCTGGCGACGACAAAAATGCATCGCAACTGTCTTGTCGCCTGAAAAACGAAACCCGTTGATGTCACCCCATCTTTCAACGCGGTCCACAGCCAGCTGGAGACGTCGCTCCATCGCTGGTGCCCTCGCTGCGCTGGTCTAGATAGTAAAATCGTCAACAAAAAGGGCACGTCCGACCGACCGGGGGAGCACATCACAGATATCATTTATCATAACTGCGAACCGCGCTACACTTAACACGCCGCCCTGGGGCACGCCGTTTATTTGTTGGTACCTATCGGAGAGGACGTTGCCGACCCGAACACGGAAATATCGTTTGACTAAAAACCTTTGGAGAAAAGTGCCCACATTACCACGCATACCATATTTCAAAAGCTTTTGAAGAATACCATGGCGCCATGTGGTGTCATAGGCGGCTTCAATGTAAAAGAACACTGACCCCATATGCACTTTCTCTCGAAAAGTCTTACGAACCGTAGTGTCTAAAGCTAGAAGGTGGTCCACCGTACCACGGTTTTCCCTAAACCCGCACTGTGAGTTGCTAAAAATGTAGTTGTTCTCTAAAAACCAAGTGAGTCGAACGTTTACCTATCCGTTCCATGAGCTTGGACAGTGATGACGTCAGTGAAATGGGTCGGTGATGAACAGGGTCCATCCCACTCTTTCCCGATTTTAGAATAGGCACCACAACAGTTTCCCGCCAGGCCGGAGGGAATTCGCTACTTGACCACACCCTATTGAAGGCCGCCAATAGTACACGACGTGCACACGGTGGCATATGTTGGAGCATATCATTGTGGATGTCATCAGGACCTTCCGATACGCTACGAAGCTTCGCGATTGCCGACTCCAATTCCACCA